TGAAACGTATAACCAGCAATTTCAGCTCACAAGCAAGCCTGTGTTTGATTACATTAGAATTATTCGCCCCCTCTCCCCCTGCCACCATGCTACTTAGGGAACTTGACTCCTAACCCCCACTCTTGTCGTCGTCCCTGAACCCACATTCCAAGCATATCAGCGACTTCCTCTTTCCTCATCTTCAGCGCAGTTTGTAATTAGAGGTTTGTGGGAAAACAAGAGCTTCAATCCAACATGCAAGGAATAATTGAGCCTATAGAAATCGGTGCTAAATTTGGTGGGGAGGGCCGATGAGAAGTATGTAGAATTATAGGAGCAACGGTGCAGAGATGGTATTGCCATTTGAGCGTGGGAAGACTTAACAAGGAGTCTTTGGAGGTCAAAATCAGGATCAGGGAGATAGTCCAGTGCTTGCCTTTGCATGCAGCTGACCTGGCTCAATCCAGGGTGCTGGATGTGCTTCCCTGAGTCCTGTTAGGAGTGATCCCTGAGCATGGAGCCAGGAGCAAGCCCTGAGCAAGCCAGCGGTGACCCCAAAGCCCCCCTCCTCCAAGGGTCATATGTGGATAAAATTGGCCAGACATGTCTTATTCGAGATCTAAGAGAGGGTGCTAGATAAACAGTTAAACGGTTGAATAAATGAGAAGTGCAGCTGGAAACGGTGATCGAAAATATAAAAAAAAAAATAAAAAATAAGGCCCTCCCGTTGATCATTGATTTGCTTGAGCGGGCCCAGTAACGTCTCCATTGGAGACTTTGTTGTTACTGTGTTTGGCATATCAAATACGTCACGGGGAGCTTGCCAGGCTCTGCCGTGCGGGCGAGATACTCTCGGTAGCTTGCCGGGCTCTCCGAGAGGGGCGGAGGAATCGAACTCAGGTCGGCCATGTTGGCTGCATGCAAGGCAAACGCCCTACCACTGTGCTATCGCTCCAGCCCGATCGAAAATATAAATAAGGGATATTGGCATTAGCATTGACTAAGACCCCCGAGGAGTCTGATGAATGGTGGGGGGGGGGAGAGAAACAAAGGCAGGATCATGGAACACTGCAACACACACACCGTTGCAGCATTAATAAGGACTAATACTCACATACGGTAGAGTTCCCGTGGCAAGTTCCCGTGGCGTATTCGCTATGCCAAAAACAGTAACAATAACGGGTCTCATTCCCCTGACCCTGAAAGAACCTCCAATGAGGCACCGTTGGGAAGGACGAGTAAGGAGAGGCTGCTAAAATCCCAGGGCTAGGACGAATGCAGACGTTACTGGTGCCCGCTCGAGCAAATCGATGAATAATGGGATGACCGTGATACAGTGAATACTCACGTGCTCCTTCACACAGACCACGTAGCTCTGTAGGGGAGCAAACACTGGAGCCTGGACCTCTCACTCCCATCTCCACTCCAGCACCCACAGATCCACATGGGGCTGGAGAGAGAGTTGATGGGATTTAGGCTCTTGCCTTGCATGCAGCCCACCCTGGTCCCAATCCCCTGGCACTGCATGTAGTCCCCTGAGCGCCACTAGGGCTCACTCCTGAGCTAGGAATAATTCCTGAGCACCACTAGGTGTTGCCTCCAAAACTAGCACTTTATAGCACTGTCCTCCCGTTGTTCATCGATTTGCTCGAGCGGGCCCAGTAACATCTCCATTGTGAGGCTTATTGTTGCTGTGTTTGGCATATCGAATATGTCACAGGGAGCTTGCCAGGCTTTGCCGTGCGGGTGAGATGCTCTTGGTAACTTGCCGGATTCTGGGAGAGGGGCGGAGGAATTGAACCGGGGTCGGCTGGGTTGGCCGCGTGCAAGGCAAACGCCCTACCCGCGGTGCTATCGCTCCAGCCTCCAAAACTAAAACAGGAAAAAATAAGAGAAAAAAAAACCACAGAAAACTGTATCTGTCAGATCTGTACCTGTCCCTGAGTAACAATGTGAGAAAAGCACATTTCTGCCCTTTTCTTTTCCTCTTTAGTTTTATTTTGGGCCACATCTGGCAGTGCTCAGGACTTCCTCTTGGTCCTGCTCCCAGGGTTCTCTCCTAGTGATGCCTGGGGGACCATATGGTATGCCAGGGATTGAACTGTACTGTCACTCTGGCCCCAGAAAAGACCATTTCTGATCACTGCTCATGGGGTAAGCCACAGATTTTTAGGATAACTTACTTACCTGGGCATACCCTTATTCTGATTCCATCACAAGAAGTATAAAACACCAGTTTTTAGTAGAAAAACAACAACAACAACAACAAAAGAAACAAAGACATCAGACCTGAAGAGATCCTATGAAGGTAGGCACTTGCCTTGCATGCTGCTGACCTTACCACAATGGTCTCCTAGCACTGAACTTGCCCTGTATCACCACTGACCCACTACAAACCTCGAAGAATGGCGTGGATCAAATTCTCATCTCCTGAGTGAAGCTGTCAGAGAACTTCCACCATCAATCCTGGGGGTGTTCTGGGGATCAAATGTAATCGTGCACATCATCCTGCAAACTCAAGTGTCTCGCACATCACTTCTTGCGTGCTAAATGGAGATTCACGCTGTAGGAGTGCAAGCCCTGCCCTGCAAAACGTCTTGCTGAGAGAGGGTTATTCATGCGATGGGCTTTGAAGGCAGGAAGAAAGTTGTCTTTGCAAGGCATTTCCTGTAAACTTCTCTCTGCAAGACTCTATCACTGTATCTCTTTCAGTAGAGAAAGCAGAATTTAAACTTGCATGACTGTTTTGCTTTAATTTCCTATGTATCCTCTAACTGTTGTCCTAGCAAAAAAGGTTTTTAAGCTAATATCTTGGAGTCCCTTGGGTATCATCCACTGCCTCTGGGGTTGCACCCAAGTATATAGGTCTACATGTTACTATTAAACTTTCTTTTTTTTTCATTTTTTTTTAATTAGTGAGACACCATGAGGTACAGTTGTAGACTTACAAATTTTTGTGCTTGGGTTTCAATTATACAATGATCAAATACCCATCCCTCCACCAGTGCCCATTTCCCACCACCACGGATCCCAGTATCCCTCCCACCCCCCATTCCCCCCATCCCACCCTGTCTCTGTGGCAGGGAATTCCCTTTTGTTCTCTCTCTCTTATTGGGTGTTGTGATTTGCAAAAGAGGCAATGGGTGACAATCATGTTTGGTCTATAGTCTACTCTCAGCATGCTTCTCCCATCCTGGGAGGATTCTCCCAACACCTTTATTTGGTGTTCCCTTCTCTATCTGAGCTCCCTTTTCCCCTAGCATGTGTGGTTGGCCTCCAAGCCATGGAGTAAAATTCCTGGTACTAATCTTGGCCATTCTTGGGTGTTAGTCTCCTATTTTGTTACTTTATGTTCCCCAGATGAATGCAATCTTTCTATGTCTATCCCTTTCTTTCTGATAAACTTTCTTTTGACTTTTAAATCAGTCTGATGCTTGTTTATTGATCCAGTCTCTGAGAAATCCAGAGGGATTTAGGATTATCTTTTCTTTTTGCATTCGGACAAAGAACACAAATGCATCATCAAATGTGATCACTTATCTTAAAAATAAATGCAAGGCAATGTCAGAATAACACTATAATGATTTACTAGTTTTCTTTTCAGTTTTTCTGCTACATAGTGTACTCACTCAAGGTTTACTCCTGGCCATGTGCTCAAGGATCACTCCTGGCAATGCTCAGAGGTGCCAGGGATCAAATCCATGCAAAACAAGCCCTTACCCGTTGATTCTCTCCATTCCAGTAAAGCTATTTTAATTAAGTTTTATTCTGTATTTTGGCTAGAAACTGTGATCCCAGGTTACCAAATCAAAAAACTTGACGTCTCCAAAGCTCCCGGAGAATGCTCCAGGTCCCAAAGAGACCCGAGATCACCGGGAAGTCCCAGATGGGGTAGGTGCTGCATCTTGCCTCCTCCAGATGGAACCCTGGTGACTATGAGCCTCTACAAGCATAGCTCGGTTATGCAGGAACCAGGACTTTTACTCCAAACCATCTTGCACATCTCCTTATATACAAAGTGATCAATGGAAAGTAAATTATCCAACGTTTCTCCCTGAAAATCAGGCTTAACTCTTTTACAAACCACAACACCCAATAGGAAAGAGAGAACAAAAGGGAATGCCCTGCCACAGAGGTAGGGTGGGATGGGGGGGGTGGGTGGGAGGGTTACTGGAATCCATGGTGGTGGGAAATGGTTACTGGTGGAGGGATGGGTATTCAAAATAAATAAATAAATTTAAATAAAAAAAACAAACGACGTTCTAGAGGCTAGGTAACGCTCTCCAAGTCCTATAAGGCTGCTAGAGAAAACATTTCCAAAGAGATGATGCTTTTTTGAAAACGTGAAAATACATTCAGAATCAGTGCAAATCATCCAACTCCAATAAGAACCCACGGAGACTGAGAGTTGGTAAAAGGAGAGAGAAAAAAAAAAGCACTAAAAAGATTTATTTGTTTATTTATTTTTTTTATTAGTGAAACACCATGAGGTACAGTTGTAGATTTACAATTTTTTGTGCTTGGGTTTGATTATACAATGATCAGATACCCATCCCTCCACCAGTGCCCATTTTCCACCACCAGAAGATTTGAGATGATCAAAGGTGAGGGGAAGCAAGAGGAATTTGGAGATCAAGGGTGAACGGCCTGCGGGACAAACCAGACGAATCAGATTCTAGGGTAAAGTAAAATCTGCGAGATTTCTGTCGGTCGCCGCACACACACTGGCTGCCTGCCAGACTCCGATCAGATCACGCCCAAATCCGAGCCTTATCACTCGGGAGTCAGCAGGATGGAAGCCGGCCCGGGCGAGCTCGCGTCAACAGCGAACTCCGGGAGCCCCGCACGCACCTGCCGCGCGCCAATCACAGGCCTGCGCGCAGGTGACGCAGGCCCCACGGCGGCGGGCGGGGCCTCCCTTCGCACCAATCGCCTCCGAGCCCTCGGCCTCTCGCCCTTCTGATTGGCCCGGAGCGGGTGACGTCACCAGGCCCTCGGCCAATCGTGGCCGAGCCGGGCCGGCCGGCGGGGCTGGGCGGAAGTGGTGTGGGCGAGCCCGCAGTGCAGAGGCGCGGCGCGCTGGCGCGGTGCAGGGGCCGGAGGTGTCGCTGGTCCTCGCCGGGGCTCCCGAGAAGATGGGGCGCTTTGCTCTGACCGTTATCCGGCAGTGAGTATTGCTGTCGTCGGGTGCACCCTTTCGCCCTCTCTCTCTTTCCAGCCAGCGGGGTCGGAGTGGGAGCAGGGACCGTTGAGAGCTGTCATTCCTTCTCGTCCCTGCGTGCTGCTGCCGCCGCCGCCGAAGGTCGGCCTGCAGCGGGCTGTGTTCGAGGTCTTGGCTTGGCTTGCACCCCTGGCTCAGAGCGAGGGAGAAGGCAGCCCAGGGTTAGAGATAAGCCCCCTCCTCCGTGGGGTCCGGAGGAGCCTTGTGATGGTTTTCCCGTTACCCCGTCTCCGCATTTCTCAACACCGAATTTGCTCCCTTGCAGATTTCAAAGAAAGTTTGCACAACATCTCGTTACAAGCTGGTTGTTTTTTTTTTTTCTGTTTGTTTTGATTTTTTTTTTTTTTGAGGCTGGCAGTCTCTCGCTCTTTCTAGCCTCTTGTCCCTCCCCTTTGGATTATCTTAAGATTTATTTCTTTCCTCTATATATGTTTCCATGGCTGGGAGAGATAAGAGAGCCTCCTGCTTACTTTTTTTTTTTTTATCAGTAGAGGACATGCCGCTAAATAGTGTGATTGAGCCTCCTGTCATGCTTGCTCTGGGCACTGACTTGCGGGATTTTAATAAGAAGTGATTTCACGAAGAGCGCAGACGTTTCACGCTGATAGGTTAGAATCTGTGCCTCATCTTTTAGGAGCCTTGTCCTGTGGGTTGTCTTTGGTCACCGACTTTGCCTTCCTGACCTCAGTGTTCCTGTCTCAAAGGCGAGGGGTGATGATAGTCCCGACTTATGGGAGAAAGGTAAAGTTGGGGCAAGCAGCGGAGTGTAAGGCCATCTTTCTGAGGAGCCAGAGGGGAGCACTCTAAGGGCTGGAAGGAGCACGTGCTTTTGCATGCAGGAGCCCCCGGTTCGATCCTCTGGGTGGGTGGGAAATATCTGAGAATGAAAAGACTTCTAGGACAACTGGAATCAAAGCACAGTTCTCTGCGTAGGTAGCCAACAAAAGCGTTGTGTTGGCTCTGGATGCCAGTGGATTGAATTAGAGAAAGGCACTGTTTCTTTATGGAGCTCAAAGGGAGTATTAACAGGATGTAACTGTGTCAAGCCAGCTTTAACCGTCAGTTCTTCCTTGAAAATCAGGGCTGGAGGGATAGTACAGCAGGTAGGGCCTTTGCCTTGCATACCTTTGACCTTTGTTACCTTTTTGTTTGTTTGTTTGTTTTGGGTTCACACCCGGTGATGCACAGGGATTACTCCCAGTTTATGCACTCAGGAATTACTGTTGGCAGTGCTTGGGGGACCATATGGGATGCTGGGAATTGAACCTGGGTTGGCTGCACGCAAGGCAAGCGCCCTATCATCTGTGCTATTGCTCCAGGCCCAAGAGTCCTGTTGCTTTGACTCAAATGCCATACCTCCCGACCTACTGTCACTGAGCCTCAAAAGTGGCTCAGTTTCCTGTCCTCTTCCATTGGTCAGATTGTCAGAAATTAATTGCAAAACAGCCTGGCACCTTACTAAGACATCATTAGGGCCTTACTAAGACATCAACAGGGATGGTCAGAACTCATGTTCAAATAACCACTGTTTGTTTACAGTCTAAACATGCCTCAGGAAGATAGTAGGGGGTTGCTTTCCTTGTATGCAGCCAATCTTGGTTCAATTCCTGGCTCTGAATATGATCCTCCAAGCCCTGCCAGGAGTGATCCCTATTCACAGAGCCCGGCCTTGAGTAAGCCCTGAGAGCCAGGAGTAACCCCTGAGCATCATGGATGTGGCCCCCAAACCAAAAACTAAAGGGTTTGGGGTTTGGGATTTGACTCAGGCAGAGCTTTGTGTGTGTGTGTGTGTGTGTGTCTCCTGGGTTCCATCCCAACACTGTCCTCAAAACTCCCCTCCCCCCCAAGAAAAAAACAAGGCAAAGGAAATAATCATGCTTTAATTATCTTTCCTTTTCTCCCTCAAACCGCCTATCTTACTATCCCTTGAAAATTATCCTTGGGGCTGGAGTTATAGTGCAGCGGGTAGGGCATTTGCCTTGAATGCCGCTGACCCGGGTTCGATTCCCAACATCCCATATGGTCCCCTGAGCACCGCCAGGGGTGATTCCTGAGTGCCGAGCCAGGAGTAACCCCTGTGCATTGCTGGGTATGACCGAAAAAGCAAAACAAAACAAAACAAGCAAACAAAAACAAAAAAAGAAAATCATCTTTGTTTTCCCAGAAATTAACGCGTGTCGAGGAATTGGGATGAAGTGGTACATTTATCCTAATTTACATTTCCATGTCCCGTCCATCAGATGCTTTGGACTCGTGCCCCAAAATAGCTCATCCCCCAGTTTCCCGGCTCTCTCTGTGGCCCCCCGAGGACCTACCGCTTTGAATGCCTAAGAAGGGCACGGCTGGGGAGTGAAGCTGTAAGTGAAGGAGCCACAGCTGAGCCGTGCAACTTTGCAGGGCCTATAAACGGCCGTCCTGAGACTGCCCTTCTTGGCATGCGCGCTGGATTCTTGTGGGCTCGGGTGTTCTGTTCTGGAAAGGAGCCGGGCTGCAGAGTTTGAAAACGAGCGGTGCTGTGCCTGACTCCCTTCCGATGAAATTCTCCTGACCTTTCTGCTACCTCCTCTCCCTCTACCGATTCCCTACCCCAAGTCCAGCTTGGAGTGAATTGAAATAACTAAATCATAAACCTTTTTTTTTTTTTTTTTTTTTTGCTTTTTTGGGTCATACCTGGTGGTGATTGATGCTCAGGGGTTTTTCTTGGCTCTGCACTCAGGAATTACTCCTGGTGCTGCTCGGGGAACCATATGGGATGCTGGGAATCGAACCTGGGTCAGCCGTGTGCAAGACAAACGCTCTCCCCGCTGTGCTGTCGCTCCAGCCCCTCATAAACCTGTTTTTGCCACTTCCCTTCACCTCTCCCCAACCAACTTTTTTGTTTTTTGTTTTTTGCTTTTTGGGTCACACCCCGCGATGCTCAGGGGTTACTCCTGGCTCTGCACTCAGGAATCACTCCTGGCAGTGCTCAGGGGACCATATGGGATGCTGGGATTTGAACCTGGGTCGGCCCGCATGCAAGGCAAATGCCCTACCCACTATGCTATCGCTCCAGCCCCTCAACCAGCTTTTAAAACAGCGGTTCTAGGATTTTTTCCCCCAAACTTCTCAATAGAACTGGTAAGAACTGCCGGACAATATTTATGAAATGGTCTGGGGGAGAAGATATTGGTTAACAGTTTTTTCTGGACGTTGTTTTTCTGTGGACCCATCATCCTTTGCCTCATGTCTGCCTGGACCCGGTACGCAACATGTCTGGGCATGTTGGGGTAAAACTGTTCCCCAACAAGAAAGAGTGCTCTTTCTAGCTGCATACTCTGTACTATTGATATTGTGATGTTTTTTGTGTTTTCTTTTGGTTTGTTTGTATTTGGCGGGGCCACACCTGGCGGTGCTCAGGGCTTGCTCTGGGCTCTGTGCTCAGGGATCACTCCTGGAGGGGTTAGGGGAACCATATGGGGTGTCAGGGGTGAGCCTGGGTCAGCCATGTGCAAGGCAAACGCCCTACCCCGCCGTACTGTTGCTCCTGCCCCATCTATTATACATACTGTGATTTGAAGGTCAGAGTGTCCACTCAGATGCCCGCAGGTCTCCCCAGTCGAGCTCACCAGCCTCGTCCGTATTTCCCCCACCAGCTCCAAAGCTGAGTTTTCTCAGGACAGAGTCACCCATCTCTTCCTTCCCTGGCATCGGAGTGGCTGTGAATGTCCTTCCGCTCTCTCCCTGTTCAGCCCACATCTCAGTGTCTCTGCACGGTTCCCAGCACCACCTGGATGCTTCTTGGGGGCTGGGAGGCAGTGAGGGGCACTGGGAGGCCCAGCCGCCTCTTAGATGCCGTTGAATTCTAAGTTTCTTGGGAAGGAGCAGACAGACTGGTTCAGGACCCCGCTGCCTGGGCGTGTGGTCATGGTTAGGGACACAGGAAATCCTGTGCCCCTCAAAGTCCTTCAGAAACCAGACGCGTCTCGGCAGATGGATAGGAGGAACCTGTATTCATGGCACGTGTACCTCTTGCATATACGCAAGAGTCCCAGCCAAACTGAGCAGCTCAGTACTTGATCCTTTTCTTCTGGGCCACAGCTGGAGGTGCTCTGAGTTTACACCTGGCTCTCTGCTAAGTGATCACTCCTGGCGGGGTGACAGGGGACCACATGCGGCGCTGAGAACCTGACGTTGGTAGGCTTTGAACAGAGCAAGTGCCATGAGTTTTGTTTTTTTTTTTCTTTTTGAGTCACACCCGGTGACGCACAGGAGTTACTCCTGGCTCTGCACTCAGGAATCACCCCTGGCGGTGCTCAGAGAACCATATGGGATGCTGGGAATCGAACCCGGGCCGCCGGCATGCAAGGCGAACGCCCTCCCCTCTGTACTGTCACTCCAGCCACCTCCTGATGAGTTTTGACAGGGCCACTCCTGGCTTGGTTTGAGGGGACCATGTAGACCTTGGGGTTGAACTTGGGGATTCACAGGCAAAAGCATGTGTGCCCCAGCCCATGGAGTCATCACCTGGGCCCTTGGATACCATCTTTTTTTTTTTTCCTTTTTGGGTCACACCCGGCAATGCACAGGGGTTATTCCTGGCTCTGCACTCAGGAGTTACTCCTGGCGGTGCTCAGGGGACCATATGGGATGCTGGGAATCGAACCCGGGTCGGCCGCGTGCAAGGCAAACGCCCTCCCCGCTGTGCTATCTCTCAAGCCCCCCCATCATTTTTTTTTTTTATAATTGAATCACTGTGAGCTACAGCTACAAAACTTTCATGTTTGAGTTTCAGTCATTGAATGATCAAACACCCATCCCTCTACCAGTGCACAGCTTCCAACCATCAATGTCCCCGGTATTCCTTCCCCCACCCCTCCTCCTCCCTCTATGGCAGACAGTTGCCCTCTTTCTCTCTCTCTACTTGTGGGCATGATGGTTTGCAATACAGATCCTGAGAGGCTATCACATTGGGTCCTTTATCTACTTTCAGCACACATCTCCCATCCCGAGCCATCCGTCCAGCCATCATTGACTTAGTGATCCCTTCTCCATCCCAGCTGCCTTCTCCCCCAGCTCCTGGGGCAGGCTTCCAACTGTGGAGCAATCTTCTGTTGGATGCCGTCTTTAAGTAGCAATCTTTAAATTCCAGTGGGTTTGGGGAAGGAGTAAGGGAAGGTCAGCTCAGAAGTTTACTAAGAAAGGCCCTCCAAGGCCACTGGCATCCCGCCTTCTCCTCTGATTAAAGCAGACTTTCCTAGAGTGTGTGTGTGTGGGTGGGGGGTGAGGGGGATAAGGATACTGGAATGATTCAGGGGGCTGGTGCCAGCCTGAGGTGCACTTGGGGGTTACTTCCTGTGTGTTCTGTTAAAGAAGAGATTTCCAGAGGAAGGCTGGTGCTGAGGAATGCAATTTTTTTTTTTTTCTGAAAAAAGGGCCAATAGATCAATGAGATACATTTGGGGCCTCTGAATTTGATCATCTGTAGGAGAGAAAGCCTTAAGGGAGGTGTTAGCATGTAGATAACACTCCATAGGTAACATGTATTCTGTCTTCAGGGCCTCATTCATCTATTATACATATCATATATATATGCACATAAATCTTTCCCCAAATGTTTCTTCCCAGTGCCATATATATGTATATATCAACCCGAGTTCGATTCCTTCGCCCCTCTCGGAGAGCCCGGCAAGCTACTGAGAGTATCTCGCCCGCACGGCAAGGCCTGGCAAGCTACCCGTGATGTATTCGATATGCCAAACACAGTAACAACAAGTCTCACGATGGAGATGTTACTGGGCCCGCTCGAGCAAATCGATGAACAACGGGAGGACCGTGATATATACATATATATATGTGTGTATATATATATACACACACACACACATACATATTTGTGTATACATATACATATATAAAAATTTCCCCCCAAAGACATATTTTGGGAGTGACAGGTCTTTCTTAGTATATTTTAATAATTTAATTATTCACAAAATGCATATATGCATCTTTGATAGAATTTTGAATTTTCCATCCATTGCTCACTTAAAATTGATTTATAGTCTGTCCATTTTTAATTTGGGGCAGGTTAAAAATTTTCAGTCTACAATCTTGGTTCCAGTTGGCAGTTTCAAATACCTATTGAGAGTCCCTTGTATTCTGACAAGTTAAATTAAGAGACATGTTGCCAAGTTCAGATGCTATCTTTTCAGTGTCCTTACTTTTTTTGGGGGGGGGGTCACACCCAGCGATGCACAGGGATTACTCGTGGCAGTGCTTGGGGGACCATATGGGATGCTGGGAATCAAACCCAGGTCAGCCTCGTGCAAGGCAAACACCCTACCTGCTGTGCTATAGCTGTAGGGCCCAACTATCCTTACTTTTGATCTCTGATTTTTTTTTTTGGGTCACACCCGGCAATGCACAGGGGTTCCTCCTGGCTCTGCACTCAGGAGTTACTCCTGGCGGTGCTCAGGGGACCATATGGGATGCTGGGAATCGAACCCGGGTCGGCCGCGTGCAAGGCAAACGCCCTACCCGCTGTGCTATCTCTCCAGTCCCTCTGATTATTTTTTTTATATAACTTCAGCAGTAACAAATTGCTAACCAATGTTATCCCCCTCCCCTCTCTATTTCAGTGGAGAAACACAGCTGAACAAGGAGAGAGTAATTCAAGGTTGGTATATTTTTTTATATATTAGCTCTTGTTTTGAAGTATGAGTGTGATCCCAGGGTTAAACAGATTTCAGGTGGGACAGGGTGTACTGGTGGGTGGCTCTGTGCTGGGATAAACTGGGGTTTTCAGAAGTGAAGCATCGTTGTCAAGAGAAATCACCACAGAAAGGTGTTCAGAGCAGATGCCAGCCCAGAAAAGTCCGTCTCTAGCGAACTGGAGATGAAGAGCTGGGGCGACGCCTTTCCAGCTCACCTCGTAACTGTCCCATGTTCCAAGGCAGCTGATCCAGAGTTTCATGTTGGGCCTCGTGGTCCTAAAATAAAACTGCCAGGATTGAAATGATTTGTGTTTGTAAACAAAGCTTACCCACCGGTGTTAGGGCATTTTTTCTGCTAGCGTCGTCGTAGTATTTTTAGTGGTATCAAGATGAGGTTTTAAAAAAAGAGAGAACAAGCTCTCTCGTGTGGTCTTGTGACTCTGTTCTCAAGAAAGTGTTGCTCCCTGGCCTGGTGAATTTGGGCTCATGGTTCTGTTCTTCTTCCTGGGATCCAGCTAGTCTGATTTTTTTTTTTTTTTTTTGGCCCCACCTGGCTGTGCTCAGTGTTTCTTCCTGGCTCTGTGCTCTGGGATTACCCGTGATGGACTCTGAGGATCAGTGGGGTGCCAGGGATTGAACCTGGCTTGGCCACATGCAAGGCAAGTGCCCACCCTGCTGTACTGTTGCTCTGGCCCCTAGTCTGACTTTTCTTTTCTTTTTTTTTTTTTTGCTTTTTGGGTCATACCTGGCAATGCTCAGGGGTTACTCCTCACTCATGCACTCAGGAATTACTCTTGGCGGTGCTCAGGGGACCATATGGGATGCTGGGAATTGAACCTGGGTCAGCCATGTGCAAGGCAAACGCCCTCCCCGCTGTGCTATCGCTCCAGTTCCTAGTCTGACTTTTATGAAACATCTTGGGGGGCTAGAGCAGTACCTCAGCGGGGAGGGCGTTTGCCTTGCAAGCGGTCAACCTGGGTTCGATTCCCAGCATCCCATATGGTCTCCTGAGCACTGCCAAGAGTAATTCCTGAGGGCAGAGCCAGGAGTAACCCCTGTTCATCGCCAGGTGTGACCCAAAAAAGCAGAACATCTTGGGTGAATTTTTTAGCTAGACATGCTATTTCAGTGTTGTGATTTTTTTTTTAAATCATTTTGTTCAGTGGTGGGGGCGGGGAGGGGGACCAGTTAGAGGGTATCTGGGGTCTGCAGAGACGGATTTTCACAGTTTCTGCACCTTCCTGCCTCCTCTGGAAACGACAAGAGATTATTAAGTGGGACTTTCTTTTCCGATTGAGTACACCTCACTTCGCCCTTGAACTTGACTTCCCCTCCTGCTCCTTCGCGAAAGTCATTTTTAGCGTAGGCAGTTCTGAGAGGGTTTCCTTAGCACTTGGAGGATAATATTCTGCCGGTCGTGTTTCCTTTTTGCTATTTACTTCCGTCGTTCCTTCTTAGTCTCAGCCAAAGGGTGTTCCATCCCAGGAACTACTTCCGAAAGCTCGGTCGGTCTTGGTTCTCTTTGGGTTCCAGAAACGCAGCTGAACAAGATGATTCTGGTTTGGGATATACGCCGGGTGACTTCTGTCTGCCGGTCTGTCTCCCATCATTTCTGAGAAGTTCCCCACAGTTCTCCTTTCAGAGTCCTGCACCCTCTTGTCCTCCGTTGTGTCTCTTCTTTTCTCCATCCGTCCCGCCTGGCATCCTAATGAGAGGGAAACCGTTTTCAGCCTCTCCCTCACATCTGCTCGGACAGAGCTAGGTTCCATCTCCTCCTGTCTTTTTCTTTTTTACATTAAAAAAAAAAATTGGGGGTGGGGTGGGGTCACAACCAGTGTAGGATAACACTGTTCTGTCCTTCCTGCATAACCTCAGGGAATAGTTGATTTTTTTTTTTCCTGTATAGCAGCTCCACTTTATTGAGAAACATCAAGCCTTTGTCCCCAGGTAACATTGAACTGTGGTACGCAGGGCCACAGGCTTTCCTACAAAGCAGGCCAAAAGGTATTATTCTCCCAACAATCTGCCCTCTGAGCCCAGGAATTAGTGTTACACTTCAAAGCAGACCAAAAGGGGCTTGTCTCCCAACAAGTGGCTATGCAAGTGAGTCCAACACAGTTCTGAGGAAATTGAGGCACGTTATTCCAACACCCTGCAGTGTAAGGGAAGCTGCGTGGGGTGTGCAGATCCAAACTTACTTATGTACACACCTGGCCTACTGAATACCTGCTCCTCCTCAAGAGGAGAAATGAAAATAATTGGATGTTCCAACTAACATGAATTGAAACCGAGCGAACAACAACTGTGGGGCCCCCAAACCTTTATAGTTGATATTTGATAGTTTAGGGCTGGAGCGATAGCACAGCGGGTAGGGCGTTTGCCTTGCACGCAGCCAACATGGCCGACCCGAGTTCGATTCCTCCGCCCCTCTCGGAGAGCCCGGCAAGCTACCGAGAGTATTCGATATGCCAGACACAGTAACAACAAAGTCTCCAATGGAGACGTTACTGGGCCCGCTCGAGCAAATCGACGATCAACGGGAGGGCCTTTACTTACTTTTACTTTATTTGATAGTTTATTGGACTGAGGGAAAGAGAAAAACACCTTAAGAGGTATTTTGCCCTTGGGCAGTCGGGAAGGGCTTTAGAATTACCTTGTTGGTGGGTCCTCAGGAAGGGCTTTCTTATGTTGATTTGGCTACCTGACTTGGTGGAGTGTCAGCCCAGACTGCTAGGGAGTTGGAGAGACCAGGGAACTGGAGAGAGAGAGAGAGAGAGAGAGAGAGAGAGAGAGAGAGAGAGAGAGAGAGAGAGAGAGAGAGCGCGAGAGCAGGGCTGCAAGATGGACCTTGAAGAGACTAGCAAGGGGAACATGTGCTTGAGAGAACCTAGACCTTCCATAACATAAATTTCTTCTATGGGATAAACTTCCTTGTAATAAACTGCTACAAAGATCAACCGGCCTGGTCCTCGTCTCTTTCTTCGTCTGCCCTTGGCCAACAGCCGTCCCGATCCAGGCCACACACAGCGGCTCTAGGTCCAGAGAGCCCGTGAACACACAACCTTCAGCGTGCAGTTTTTTACAAACCAGCGATACTCAGGGGTTACTCCTGGCTCTGCACTCAGGAATTACTCCTGACAGTGCTGGGGGACTGTATGGGATGCCGGGATCGAACCCTCCTTGGCTGCCCTACCCACTGTGCTATCATCTCTTGAGCCCCTCCATCTCCTCTTGTCTGCAGGCTTTCAGGACCATCACGCCTGCCCGGGTGAGTTCATTTTGTTCTGTAGCAGTGACACACCCCCTTAGCCATTAAGGGACCTTTTCTCAGCCCACCTCCACCCCAGGTTCTATTTTTCTTTCTTTTTTTTTTTTTTTTTGCTTTTTGGGTCACACCCGGCGATGCTCAGGGGTTACTCCTGGCTTATGCACTCAGGAATTACTCCTGGCGGTGCTTGGGGGACCATATGAGATGCCGGAAATTGAACCTGGGTTGTCCACGTGCAAGGCAAATGCGCTTCCCACTGTACTATTGCTCCAGCCCCGTATTTTTTCATTATTACGAGGTGTGTTTTTTTTTGTTTTGGAAAATGGCTTCTGCTGACTTCTTGCTGCTTCCTTAGTTTTCGGAGATTCTGTCTTCGTGTTATCCCAGGTTCTCTTTGAAATTGACATCTGCTGATTTCAGTGTCTGTAGTATTAATAGTTCTAAATAAATCTGTTACTCGTTTCTGCTGATGTATACGCACGACGGTTTTTTTTTTTTTGCCTGCTACATTAGTAGAAAGTTCATTAGATTTAATTGAGAATGTTTTGCTCCGAAGGGGATTGGCATTGGGTTCACCACTGAGCCAAGATGCCAGTAGCTCCAGCGATGGCATCCAGGAATTCTGACTTCAGTTCTTCCCATTTTCCATCCTCGTCCTCTGCACAACCGTCCTCCAACCCCTCCCTCACTTTACTGTCATCACGATGGACTGCTCTGTTCGCATTGTCTTAAGAATCAGGTTTCAGCTCCAGATCTTCTCGTCTCGCTTAGCTTCTTGGCGATTTTTCCTCTCTGTCCCGTGAATTCGGGGATGTAACACGCACATGTACATCTTCAGCAGAGTGCTTTTTTCAGTACGAGGATCCTTTTTTTTTTTTTTAATTGAATCACTGTGAGAGACAGCTAGAAGTTTTCATGTTTGAGTTTCAGTCATACAATGATTGAACACCCATCACTCCACCAGTGTACATTCTCTACCACCAATGTCCCCAGTATTACCCCTTCCCCCCTTTCCATCCCTTCCCCTGCCTCCATGGCAGACAGTTTCCTCCATACTCTCTCTCTACTTTTAGGCATTATGGTTTGTAATGGGCTGGAGCGATAGCACAGTGGTAGGGCGTTTGCCTTACAAGCGGCCAACATGACTGACCCGAGTTCGATTCTTCCGCCCCTCCCTGAGAGCCCGGCAAGCTACCGAGAGTATCTCACCCGCACGGCAGAGCCTGGCAAGCTACCCATGGCGTATTCGATATGCCAAACACAGTAACAACAAGTCTCATGATGGAGACGTTACTGGGCCCGCTCGAGCAAATCCATCAACAACAGGAGGACCGTGATACCGTGATGGTTTGTAATATAGATACTGAGAGGCTATCCCGTTTGGTCCTTTATCTACTTTCAGCACACATCTCCCATCCCGAACGATCCCTCCAACCATCATTGACGTAGTGATCCCTTCTCTATTCCAGCTGCCTTCTCCCCCAGCACATGAGACAGGCTTCCAACTATGGGGCAGTATTCCTGGCCATTGTGTCTACTGTCCTTGGGTGTCCATCTCATATTATGTTATTTTATATTCCACAAACGAGTGCAGTCCTTCTATGCCTGCCCCTCTCTTTCTGACTCATTTCACTTAGCATGATAGTCTCCATGACCATCCACTTGTGAGCAAATTTCATAACTTCGTCTTTCCTAACGGCTGCATAGTATTCCATTGTGTAGATGTGCCAAAGTTTCTTTAACCATTCATCTGTTCTTGGGTTGTTTCCAAATTCTGGCTATTGTGAACAGTGCTGCAGTGAACATACAGATCCAGATGTCATTTCTCCTGTGCTCTTTTGCACCCTCGGGATGTATTCCCAGAAATGGTATTGCGGAGTAGTACAAGGATCCTTCACAGTGTCTGGGCCACTTTCCTACCTGGCAGTGAGCTTCTTAAACATCTTTTAAACGAACAGGGGAGAAGAGGGCGAGAGGAAAGGAAGGGAAAATAGGATCACACTGAGCATTTGGACAGTGAAGAGAACCGGAAGAGTGGGTTGAAGTGATGGTCCTACCATCCAAACACCTCACATGAGTGGAGTTCGCAGGATCAGAGCCAGCGTTAACAGAATGCAGCTAATGGAAAGGGCCACACGTGCAGGGCGGGAGGGCTCCCAACTCTGAATTCTCATCAGCATCTCATTTCCAGTAGGAAACATGCTTTTTGCAAAGCCTGGATTCTGCGGGCCATCCCTGGCTGATGACCTGCTGTAAAGTTAGGTGGCCTATATCCTATGACCAAGGAGATCTTGGCATAGACTTGTGATAAATATCCTTACGTTCTCTTGACATCAGATTCCATTTGCAGAGACCGGAGTAATAGTACAGCGAGGAGGGCTTTTGCCTTGCAATGGGGCCGACCCAGGTTCGATCCCCAGCATCCCATAGGGTCTCCCGAGCACCGCCAGGAGTAACCTTTGAGCATTGCTGGGTGTGACCTACAAGGGCAAAAAAAAAAAACCAAGCAAACAAAAGAGATTCCGTTTGCATTTGCGTCTCTTATACCTCATTTGTGCCTTCTCCCACAGGACAAGGAGTCGATGCACCTCTCTCAGAAACTGGCTTTAAGCAATCAGCCGCTGCCGGGGTCTTTCTTGAAAATGTCCAGTTTACTCATGTCTTCTGCAGCGATCTCCTCAGGACAAAGCAAGTAAGTTTAGAGCTGTGGTTGAGGCTGATGAGTTCAAATTCTTAACAGTTATGTAGCCTTCAAAAAAAATCTGTTGGGGGTTGGAGCAATAGCACAGCGGGTAGGGCTTTTGCCTTGCACGTGGCTGACCCGGGTTCAATTCCCAGCATCCCATAGGGCCCCTCAAGGACCCCCAGGAGTAATTCCTGAGTGCATGATCCAGGAGTAACCCCCGTGCATTGTTGGGTGTGACCCAAAACGCAAAAATAAATAAATAAATAATCTGCGGGGACAGTAGTACAGTAGGTACGGAGTTTGATCCCCAGACCCCCGTATGGTTCCTCAAGCCCCAGGAGGAGTAACCCCTATGCACAGAGCTCGGAGTAAGCCCTGAACATAGGCGGGTATGGCCCCCAACGCAAACAAACGGATTTGCTCTTTGTAGGGAATTAATCACACACATCCTGGCCAACCTCCCCACTCTCTTAGCCCTGAGCGGAACCACTTGTCTTTATTTATTTATTTATTTATTTTTTGTGCTGTAGCTTACTTTGGCAATTTTAGAATGTCTTTGGAGTTAAAAAGTGTATTCCGAATATCTCTTTGAAAAAGAAACAAAACATAACAAAACAAAAAGACAAAAGGAACCAGCAGAAATACTAGACAGGAGAATTTAATCCTCTTGATATCTGTTATTGATCTCTGTTTTTCAAAAACAACAGCTATGGGGGTTGAAGCGATAGCACAGCCGGTAGGGCGTTTGCCTTGCATGCAGGAAAAAGCAGGCAAGTTTAGAGTTGTGGTTTAGGCTGATGAGTTCAAATTCTTAACAGTTATGTAGCCTTTAAAAAAATCTGTTGGGGGGTTGGAGCAGTAGCACAGCAGGTAGGGCGTTTGCCTTGCGTGTGGCTGACCCGTGTTCGATTCCCAGCATCCCCTATTGTCCCTCAAGCACTGTCAGGAGAGCCAGGAGTAACCCCCTGTGCATCGCTGGGTGTGACCCAAAAAAGCAAAATAAATAAATAATTAAAAAACCAGCTATGTTACTAGGAAGAAATAAATGATACCTTAGTAGTACTGCTAGGGGAAAAAAAAAAGAAGTACCCACCAGAAAACAGATTAAGAATAAGCCCAGACCCTGGGTAATCCCCCCCCACCCCCGCCACCCGCATACACTCACACCCCAAAAGCTCACATTGTGATGCTATTTCAGTTGCTTTCTGAAAAGGCAAATCTATAGAGAACAAAAAAATCCATTAATGGTTGGTCACCTGGGGCTGAGGAAAAATAGGAAGTAACTGCTAATGGACATGGGGTTTCTTGTGGTTTAATGGAAATATTCTAAAATTAGATTGTGATCATGACTGGATGCTTAATCAATTTATTCAAGATTGTTGAATTATGTACCTGTACCTATAATCAGTAAATCGTGTGCTAAATAATCTATTACTTCAATAAAGATGGAAATAATAGATTATTTTTAAAGTAATAGATTATTATTAATTATTATTATTATTATTTTGAAGTGATAGATTATTATTTTTTAAAAAAATTTTTAAAAAATGAGCCCAAATTGGTAGGAACAGTAGCTCAAAGGTTAAGTATGGGTGAGGCCAGAGTTTGTTCCTGGTATACTTGAGCACTGAGACAGGAGTGATCCATGAGTACCTCCTTAAACCACAACCTACCTCCCCCCTCAAAAAAAGAAAAGACTCCAGATTTTTCAAAAATGATCCAGATCAACTCCTGAAAGCTCAGTGGAAGATTTTTGTGACAACCAGGAAGGGCCAGCAAGTTTAGGATTGAGGAGATAGTGGGAGAGAACTTGCGACAAGTCTTCATGAGTTGGACAGCGGGCAGGACGTGCTGACATGAAGTGAATCCCGGATGGGTCCCAAAAATGAAATGAAAAAGCATGACACGGGGCCTTTGGACGGCCCTGGTGTTGCAGCCGAAGCCTGGCCCATCTCCCAGCAGGGAATTGCTCCAGGGACCCGGTGGTCTCAGTGGAGTAAAGGAGACAAAGCTGAGAATTTGGGAACGTTAAAATGCATAAACATTTGGGCCAAAGAGAGAAAATTGCAGCCCTCCAAATCAAGATTCCACTGTCTGCAGATTTGTCATTGCTTTAAGCATTCCTTTAAGGCCCCAGGAGACAAGGAGAATAAACAAGGCCAGCGGGTCTTTAAACATCATTTCTTGGGGGCTGGAGCAATAGCAAAGCGGGTAGGGCGTTGGCCTTGCACACAGCCAACCCGGGTTCGATTCCCAGCATCCCATAGGGTCCCCCGAGCACAGCCGGGAGTAATTCCTGAGTGCAGAGCCAGGAGTGAACCCTGTGTATCGCCGGGTGTGACCCAAAAAGCAAAAAATAAAAAAATCATTTCTCTAGTTCTGAAATTAGAACGCTGCCCTACCCCCCACCCCCCCCCCCACCCCCGGCTGCCCCACGACTCCTGACTCCTGGGTAAGAGCAAGTCTCGCGGGCCCAGTAACGTCTCCATTGTGAGACTTGTTACTGTTTTTGGCATATCGAATACGCCACGGAGCTTGTCAGGCTCTGCCGTGCGGGTGGGATACTCTCTGTAGCTTGCCGGGCTCTCGGAGAGGGACGGAGGAATCGAACCCGGGTTGGCCATGTGCAAGGCCAACGCTCTACCTGCAGTGCTATCGCTCCAGCCCCATATATATATATGTGCTGGAGTAATATATATATATATATATATATATACACACATATATATATTCGCACACACACAATATATATACACACACATATATTTATTTATTTTTTAAATGGAAAGGTGGGGAGTAGGCCTGAGGGTCTGAGAACCTCTGGGTTAGGAGATTAACATCAGAACCCAGCGTGGAGAGACAAATTGAGTAGCACCAAAAACTAAGGGAAATAATTTGTCATTCTGGATTTTATTCACTCCGACAGCTCAATGTGATTTCTAGGTTTGAGCCAGGGCCGTTGTTTTGATGAGAGAAGAAAGTGACCTTTTTTTTTTTTTTTAAATCAGACAGTACTTGGGATTTTGGAGAAGAGCAGATTTTGCCAAAATATGACAGTGCAGTACGATGCCAGGCTTCGAGAACGGGTAAGTCGTGTCACTCCCCTGCCCTAACGAGCTGCCTTTTTATTCTTTCCCGGAAGTTGGTCAGTGAATCCCTTCAGTTTGTCCCCTCGCCAGACGTTAAATGCTTGGCAGGTGGATCCCACAAACACAGTGTTAAGACTCTCCATCAGGATGGACAAGATCCCGCATGCTCTGTCTCTGACCTCATAGAGTTGGCTCCGGTAGGACTCTCCCACTGTGGAAACAAAGTATACTTGTGAGAACTTAGCACAGTGAAGGAAGAGTTTTGAGTCCAAGTGAAAAGTTCTCTGATCAGCCTCTCAGTCCCACATTCTGATGGGAAGCATCAAGAGAGGGGCTGGAGCCATAGCACAGCGGGCAGGGCGCTTGCCCAGCTTGTGGCCGACCTGGGTTTTATCCCCGGAACCATCCATGGTCCCCTGAGCCCCGCCAGGAGTGATCCCTGAGTGCAGAGTCAGGGGTCAGCTCTGGGGCTGGAGAGATAGCACAGTGGGTAGGGAGTTTGCCTTGTAGGCGGCTGACCCATGTTCCGATTCTCAGCATCCTATATGGTTCCCCCCAAGCTCAGCCAGGAGTGCATGAGCCAGGAGTAATCCCTGTGCATAGCTGGGTGTGAGCCAAAAAGCAGATAAACCAAACAAACAAACAAAAAAAAAAGCAGGAGTCAGCCCAGGAGTTATTCCTGAGTACACGAGCCAGGAGTATTCCCTGTGCATCCTGGGTGTGAGCCAAAAAGCAAACAAACAAACAAAACAAAACAAACAAAAAGCAGGAGTCAGCCCCCTGAGCACCGCTGGGTGTGGCCCTAGAACCACACACATAGAAAGACACACGAATAGGCTTCAAGCCCATTTTATGAATCAGAACCGAATCTTCCAGAAGTGGTGATTCAGCAAAAGCCAGACAGCGCTTTCAGCCAGCTCCCCTGCGAGAGCACTATTTTTATTCTCTGCAGCAAGAGCAAAAAGCTGGTTACTGTCCCCACCCGGCCAAAAGCGTGGAGATTGAATGGCTTTCCATAGCTGACACCAAGGTCACCAACAGCTTGTTAGCGCAGCTCAGATGCCAGTGCTTTTGGGGGAAAGACTCAGTCTTTTGTCTTTTTTTTTTTTTTGGTCTGTAGGTCTCCCCTGGCAGTGTTGGGAGTTTCCTCTTGCCTCTGCTCAGGGATCACTCCTGGAGGGCCGATGGGATGCTGGGGATCAAACGCATGCAAAGCAGATCCTCTCCCTGCCATACCTTCCTTCCGGCCCCAGACACGTTCTTTAGCCCGGGAACCCGTTCTCCAGGGCTGCTGAGATACAGCCTCGGAGCTCAGCACAGCCCTGCAGGGCCCTGAGCTCTCTGAGGCGTTTCATCCTCTCCTTGGGTTTCACTCGCCGGGGTTTGTAATGTATCCGTCTCCCACCTGAGCTGCCCAGCGCCCTGCCAGACCCCTCTCTCGGTTTCTATTCCTGTGCCCCTGGCTGCTTCCAGCTCGGAAGGGGACACCTGCCCTTTTCTCTACCTGGCTCGCGCTGTCCCCGGTGCTCAAGCCCATTCATTCCTTCATTTCTGGAGCCGGGGGTGCACGTCTGTTAGTGCTGGGGGTAGAGGGGAGGTAGAGGGGGTGCCTCCCAGCTCAATGTTGTCCCGGGGATCGAACCTGGGCTTTTCCATACAAGCAGTGCTGTAGCCCTTTGAGCACTCTCCGTCTGTCTCTCTCTCTCTCTCTCTCTATCTCCCCTCAAATCATTTGCGAATCTCCACTGTCCCTCACTCTGTGTACCCCATTGTCACTTCTGCCTCCAGATAGTTCTGGAATCTTTCATTTTTCTGGAGACCCTAAAGTCTCTCTCCTTTTGTGCTTAATGCCAACCACTTATATTCATATATATGTATGCATATTACACATATATGTATATATTACACACAAAAGCATTGTGTGTGTGTGTGTGTATATATGTGCCATGAGACCACTGAGCCACATCCTCTGACACACACACACACACACACACATATACACACATGCATACACGCATGCGCACGCATATGCATGAGAGTCTAGATTTGATTCCAACAGTGTCCAGAAAAAAAAAATCAGCAAGCATCAGCACACGTGTGGCGCTTCCAACAGCTACCAAAGACCTCTCGCAGTTCTTTGTGTTTGTTGGTTTTGTCTCTGTCTTGGGGGCCACACCTGGCTGTGCTCAGGGCTGCCTCCTGGCTCTGTGCTCAGGGGTCACTGCTGGCGGTCTGCGGGGGACTGAACCCGGCTGGGCCCTGAGCAAGAGCCCCACCCAACATGCAGTTTCTCCAGCTCAGCTTCCTGCAGCTCCATGTCGTCTCTTTCCCTGTTCGCATTTTCTGTCAGCAGCCAGAGTAATCTTCGGAGAAATCTGGTTGCCTCATCCCTGTAATAAAACCATTCTCTGCTTCCTTTGATGAGCAAAGGTTATTCAAGCTCCAACCTGCTGTTAGGAGGTCATGTGTTCTGATGACCATCTGCTTGCTCCTCCCGCTTCATTCTTTTTTTTTTTTTTTTTGCTTTTTGGGTCACACCCTGGCGATGCTCAGGGGTTACTCCTGGCTCATGCACTCAGGAATTGCTCCTGGCGGTGCTCAGGGGACCATATGGGGTGCTGGGAATTGAAGCTGTGTCGGTCATGTTGACTGCGTGCAAGGTAAACGCCCTACCCGCTGTGCTATCGCTCCAGCCCCTCCCGCTTCATTCTTAATGCCAGCCATATATAGACATACAGATTATGCTTTACATATATGTATAATTTATATATTAATGTATTAGACATATATTTTATATATTTATATGTATGTATAGCACTGTCCTCCCGTTGTTGATCGATTTGCTCGAGCGGGCCCAGTAACATCTCCATTGTGAGACTTATTACTGTGTTTGGCATATCGAATACGTCACGGGGAGCTTGCCAGGCTTTGCTATGTGGTCGAGATACTCTCGGTAGCTTGCTGGGCTCTCTGAGAGGGGCGGGCGATTGAACCCGGCTCAGCCCGGTGGGTCGCGTGCAAGCCGCATCCTACCCGCTGTGCTATGTATAGATTTATAAAATATATGTCTATTGTGTTAATATATAAAATATATATATAAAGTATATATATGCATATATATATATATGACAGGGGATGTGGCTTGGTGGTAAATCTCATAGCTTGCATGCATGAGAACCTGGGTTCAATCCCCGGATTGTCCAGGAAAAAAAATTTTTTTTTCCTGTGTATTTTATTTATTTATTTTTTAGTGAGTCACCATGAGGTACAGTTACATACTTACAAACTTTCATGCTTACGTTTCAGTTATACAATGATCGGGTACCCATCCCCCACCAGTGCCCATTCTCCACTGCCAATGATCCCAGTATCCCTTCCACCATCCCCACCCCAACCCCCGCCACCCCACCCCACCTCTGTGGCAGGGCATTCCCTTTTGTTCTCTCTTTCCTTTTGGGTTGTAGTTTGCAATAGAGGCATTGAGTGGCCATCATGTTCGATCTATCGGTCTACTTTCGGCATGCGTCTCCCAACCCGAGCGGGTCCTCCAAACACCCTTTACTTGGTGGTCCCTTCTCTGTCTGAGCTGCCTTTTCCCCCAGCAAGTGAGGCCGGCTTCCAAGCCGTGGAGCAATCCTCCTGGTCCTTATCTCTACAATCCTTGGGTGTTAGTCTCCCATTCTGTTACTTTATATTCCACAGATGAGTGCAGTCTTTCTGTGTCTGTCCCTCTCTTTCTGACTCATTTCACTTAACATGATACTCAGAAAAAGAAAAAAAAAAGTTAGCAAGCTTTAGCACGTGTGCAGCACTGTGGCCGGAGGCTCCTCAACAGTCCTATTTTGTACAGAGTTGAAAAAATCTCCATCCTTAGGCACTCAGATTGCAGGGACAAACCCCCAGGCCCACAGAGATCAGTCGCGCTCAGGGCCACAGAGGCTGCTGGAAAAGTCCGGTGTATTTCCCTAGAGCTGGCTCTCAGGTCTTCTTCGCCCTGCCCTCCTGGGAGCTGTGCATCCCTCCGCCGGGAAGCCACCCTGATCAACCACTGTGTTGTGTTCAGGCTGGGGCCGTCCGTGGTCTCCCTCATTGCGGTTAGACTTTTGTGCTGTGGGTGCTGTGTCTCACTAGTCCCTCAACGGTGGCACCTTTTCATTCTCCCTTTTGAGACTGGTGTCTCTGCCATGCTCCCTCTCGGTCAGGCGGGGGCGCTGTGGGTCACCCCTTCCCTTCTCTCCTTCCCTGCTCTGACCCTTTTACCTACAGCCTTTCCAAGCGAGTGGGGTGGCCTGAATGTTCCTCTTTGGAATAAAAGGTCATGCCATGTTTGGTTTCCAGATGTGAGAATTTGAACTCGAGGATTGGAAGAAGGCACAAGATGTGCATTTATGGCTAGCAGGAAAAAATACTATTTTAGGGGTCGTGGAAATAGCTCGTGGGCACTTGCCTTGCACACCTACACGCAAAACCACTTCCTTCCACCACCACCACCCCCCCGTTCTCAAAATTAATATTTACCTACTTGCAATTTCTGTCAGACAGTGGTGTTAAAATCCTTCAGAATTGTCAGTGCAAATCAGAAAGAATGATTTCTCTTCTGAAATAGGGATGCATGTAACCCGTTATTGTTGGGGAATGAGAATAAAAACAGTTATTCCAGAGAGAATAAAATGTCTCCCATGCAGTCACTTGTCAACATTGTAGTATATGTGCTCCTGCTGTGACTGAGTTCTTTTATCTGTCTGTTCATCCCTCCCTCCCTCCCTTTCTCCCCCTTACTTGTATTTTTCTAAATGTAATCCCACATGTATTATTTTTTTAAATTTGTTTTGTTTGGGTTCCATATCTGGTGGTTCTCAAGGGCTTATTCCTGGGCTCTGCATGCAGGAATTACTCCATGGGATGCTGGGGAGAGAACGTGGACCAGCCACGTGCAAGGCAAACAAATGCCCTCCCCGCTGTGATGATTTTGCAGCCAGTTTACGCCCATTATTGCCAGTAATCGCACACTTGTATGGTTGCGTAATTTCTCTTAACCACGAGCTAAGCCTGGCATCAGAGTTATGGCCACATTTTCTACTGATGGTTGAACACCTTTAGGGACTGGAAGGAGAGTAGACAGGAATGAAGGTAAGGTGCTTTCCTTGTGTGATGCTGACCTGGGTTTGATCCCCGACACCCCATATGGTCCCTCCGCCCCGAGCCTGCCGGGAGTGATCCCTGAGTACTGCTGGGTATAGCCCTCCCCACACCCCCTCAAAAAAAAATGTTTAAACAAACCGATGAATGCCTTTAGAGCTAATTTCTTGGGGGCAGGAAGATGGCACGGGACATCAGCGTGTGCCTTACATGCGACTGACTCATGTCCCTGATACCACCTGTGGTCCCATTCCTGAGCACTGTCACGGGGCCCTCACCCCCCAGTTCAGTGAAAGGACTATTAAGAGCTAGATAGTCCGGGGCTGAAGGTGCCTGCCTCGTTGGCTGCTGGTCCAGGCTCCTCCAACACATGGTTCCCCCAGCATCTCCAGAGGGGACTCCTGAGCACTGAACCGGGAGTAGCCCCTGAGCACTGCCAGGTGCCAAACCGCCACCCTCCTCCCCCCAAAAGAGCAGAGTTAATTCTTTTTTTTTTTTTCTTTTTGGGTCACACCCGGCAATGCATGGGGGTTACTCCTGGCGGTGCTCGAGGGACCCTATGGAATAATGGGAATCGAACCCGGGTTGGCCGCGTGGGAAGCAAATGCTCTACTCACTATGCTATTGCTCCAGCCCCAAGCAGAGTTAATTCTTTGTATACCTAACTACCTTATTTCTTAGAAATGGACTTTCTGAGCATACATTTTTTAAAAACCCATTTTTATTTTATTTTTATTTGGGTTGGGGAAGGTGGGGCATTGGGCCACACCCAGCAGTGCTCAGGGCTTTACTCCTGACTCTGTGCTCAGAGATTTTTTTTTTCCTGGCAGGGCAGTGTGTTGTCCGGGATCACACTGGTGTTGGCCTGTTGGCCGCATGTTAGGCAAATGTCTTAACCCTTATGCTATCTTGCCTACTCGCAGTATATTTTTTTGGAGTCTTATATATTGCTAAATTTCCTTCCAGAAAAACTCTCCCATTTTACACTTTAATGATCAAGCAAAACGGTTTTTTTCTCACATTTGGGGCTGGAGAGACAGTACAGTAGGTAGGGGGCATGCCTTGCCCATCCTAGGTTTGAATCCCAGCACCCCCTATGGTTCTTCGTGTTTGGAGTGATCCTTGAGTACTAAACCAGGAGTAAGCTCTGAGCATTGCTGGGTGTGTTCCCCAAATAAAAAATGAGACATAACAAAAATTCTTCATGTTAATACTGTGTTTATATATTGCTCATGTTAATACTCTGTTGTTCGTTCAATTCATTAACTCATGAAAAGTGCCAACTTGAGTTTCATATTATAGATTTTCCCTCAGGTAATCTTTCCCCCGTTTCCTTTGGATTGTGTCATGTTGTTATTGTGTTATTTGTGTGTATGTGTGTCTGCATGTGTCTGTGTGTGTCTCTGTGTGTGTGTGTCTGTGTGACCTGGGAGTTTTTTCCTGAGATTCAGTCTCTGAAATGATTATTTAGCTTTAAAACCCGTAGATCTGACTTTAAATTTTAACTTTGCTCATTCAAATTAAAACGGACCCTGAGACAATAACTGGATTCTAATCCCTGTGAACATTGGCGTGACTGTTTGTCCGTGTGTGTGTGTGTGGGGGGGGGGGGTCACACCTGCCTTGAAGTGCTGCTGTTGGGATCAAATGAGAGTTTTGCGGCTCACTTGAAGCCTTGCCCAGGCCCCTCCAGCCCTGGCGTCTCTGCCAACCCCTGTCTCTATCCAGTCAAACCCTGCCACTGCTGGGATTAGCCGGAGTGGGTGATTCATGATAATGCAGCTGGCTCTGGGGGACCACCTCTGTTTCCCGGGGGGAGTCGGGCCGCCCTGGGACCCGGCAGATCCCCATCGCCTTACCTGGTCAGCGAGAGGAAGTCCTATTCCTTCCCGGACAGCCGTGTTCCGTATTTGCCTTCAACGTGGCACTCGATGGTGATGCTGCGAATTCACTGGAGGTGCCTTTGTCTGTTGGATCCTTGTAGAAATACGGAGTTGCAGAAGGCAAGCCACTCAGCGACCTCAGGGCGATGGCCAAGGCCATGGGGGAAGAGTGTCCGATGTTCACACCGCCTGGTGGAGAGACGCTGGACCAGGTATGTCTGGGGGGTGGGGGATAGTGGAGGGGGGGCTACACAGGTCGATGAACTTGCCAGGGATGGTGAAACTGACATCTGATTTCTTTTCTTTTTTTTTTTCCTCTTTTTGGGTCACATCGGCGATACTCAGGGGTTACTCCTGGCTCGTGCACTCAGGAATCACTCCTGGCGGTGCTCGGGGGACCCTATGGGATGCTGGGAATCGAATCCCAGTCGGCTGCATGCAAGGCAAATGCTCTATCCGCTGTACTATTGCTCCAGCCCCTGATTTTCTTGTGTTAGCTCGGTTTCTGTGTGACAGCCGCCAGGTAGTTGGAAGGTTTTGGGTTTGTAAAACAGCTGTGTAATGTGATTTGTTTTTCCTCCCCACTTTTGAAGTTCTCCTGTCTCGTCACCTAAGGTTAAGTTGGCAGCCATCACAGAGAACAGATTAACTTATTTATTCCTTTATTCATTGGGGGTGGGGAGTGGCACACATGGTGGTGCTCAGGCTTATATCTGGCTCTGTGCTCAGGTGGTGGGGGCCATAACAGGTGACAGTGATCGACCTTGGGTCAGCTGTGTATGAGACAAACATCTTTTTTTTTTTTAATTTATTTTTTTTTAATAGTGAGACATCATGAGGTACAGTTGCAGGCTTACACATTTTTGTGCTTGGGTTTCAATTATACAATGATCAGACACCCTCCACCAGTGCCCATTTCCCACCACCACGGATCCCAGTATCCCTCCCACCCCCCCATCCCCCCATCCCACCCTGCCTCTGTGGCAGGGCATTTCCCTCTCTCTCCTTTTGAGTGCTGTGGTTTGCAAAAGAGGCATTGAGTGGCAATCATGTTCGGTCTATAGTCTACTTTCAGCAAGCTTCTCCCATCCTGGGAGGATCCTCCCAACACCCTTTATTTGGTGTTCCCTTCTCTTTCTGAGCTCCCTTTTCCCCTAACATGTGTGGTTGGCCTCCAGGTCATTGAGTAAAATTCCTGGTACTAATCTCTGCCATTCTGGGGTGTTAGTTTCCTATTTTGTTACTTTATGTTCCCCAGATGAATGCAATCTTTCTATGTCTGTCCCTCCCTTTCTGACTCATTTCGCTTAGCATGATACTTTCCATGTAGTACCACTTGTATGTAAATTTCATGATTTCATCTTTTCTAACAGCTACATAGTACTCCATTGTGTAAATGTACCAAAGTTCTTTAACCAGTCATCTGTTCTCGGGCACTCAGGTTTTTTTTTCCAGATTCTGGCTATTGTAAAGAGTGCTGCAATAAACAGACAATTGCAGGTGTCACTTCGACTATACATTTTTTGCCTCTCTGGGATATATTCCCAGGAGTGGTATTGCTGGGTCAAATGGGAGCTCAATTTCTAATTTTTTGAGAATCATCCATACTGTTTTCCAAAACGGCTGAACTAGTCGGCATTCCCACCAACAGCGAAGGAGTGTCCCTTTCTCACCACATCCGCGCCAGCACCGGTTGCTTTTGTTCTTGTGGATATGGGCCAGTCTCTATGGTGTGAAGTGATACCTCATTGTGGTTTTGATCTGCATCTCCCTGATGATTAATGATGTAGAACATTTTGAGACAAACATCTTAACCGCTGTACTGTTACTATGTCCTGCCCCCCCAACACATTGAAAGTGGTGCATTATTATTATTATTTATTAATTAATTTATTTTTTTCTTTCTTGGGTCACACCCGGTGATGCTCAGGGGTTACTCCTGGCGGTGCTCGGGGGACCCCGTGGGATGCTGTGAATCGAACCTGGGTCAGCCGCATGCAAGGCACACACCCTCCCCTCTGTGCTATCATTCCAGCCCTGAGTGGTGCATTACTAGATGGGACTGTTCAAGGCCCCTGTGGTGGGAAGCAGTGGCTGGGGTAGGGGACGTGGGTCGAGCAGCCATGGTGTGGTCCGAGGATGGTCTGGGCAGAAAGGGGAGAGGCAGGACAGAGAGGGATTCGGCAAGTTGGCCCACGCTCGGCTCATCCCGGCTCAAATCTCAGCACTGCATATGATCCCCTCAGCAGTGCCAAGAGTAACCGCTGAGCACAGAGCCAGGAGTATGTGTTTATGGATTGTACTTCCGGGCATGGGCTATAAAAACCGGAAGAAGAAAGGGGGTGGGGGTGGGGGGGGCGAAGGCTCGCTCTCCCAGCCTGTGTTCTCCCTGGAACATGAATCTTCTTTGCTGGTCTCTGTTCCTTTGCTCTTTTCCACTCTGGAGAAGCTCACCCTCGCTCTTGAACACGTACTTCTCATTTGCTTTTCCACTTATCTCTTTCTAAATGAATTTCAGCAAAAAGTCTCTCGCCTCATCCAAATAAAGAAAGAAAGGGAGATGAACGCAATCAGAGAGGTAGTTCGGTGAGTCAGGGCACTTGCCCTGCATGCGGTCGACCTGTGTTCCATCCCTGCCACCGCGATACGGTCCTTGAGCACAGAGCCAGGAGTAAGCCGAGAGCATCGCTGGGGGTGGCACAAGAAAATGAGGGCGGGGGGCCGGAAAGTTAGCCCAAAGGACTGAGTGTGTGCTCTGCGTAGGACCGGGGGTGGGGTGGGGCGGTGTCCTGGTTTCCAGCCTCAGTTCTGCATGGTCCCCTGAGCACCATCAGGCATGATCGCTGAGCTCAGAGCTGGGTGTAACTCCTGGATACTGCCAGGTGACCCAAAGGGCAAAAAGAAAACAAAGTGAAGAGGCACTGTGAGGACTCCACCAGGCTCTGCGCCCTCTGATGCTTAGGGACCCCTATCCATCACCTGTGTTTCTCTCATGGGCTCTGCCTTTGGTGTTCTTTTTTTTTTTTCTTCCATTTTGGGTCACACCTGACGATGCTCAGGGGTTAGGTTACTCCTGGCTCATGCACTCAGGAATTACTCTTGGTGGTGCTCAGGGAACCATATAGGATGCTGGGAATCGAACCCGGGTTGGCCGTGTGCAAGGCAAATGCCCTACCCACTGTGCTATCGCTCCAGCCCTTGCCTTTGGGGTTCCTTATGGGTCATTTACCTCTTCCTCACAGTTTCATGATTTACCTGCAAGATTGGTTCTAATTGCACCGATGGGCCTTATGTTCTCTTCTGCCTAACCTAACTATTTTCATGAGCATCTGTTTCAATCTCTATAGCTGTATTATTTGTGGGCTGGAGTGATAGCACAGCAGGTAGGGTGTTTGCCTTGCATGCAGCCAACATAGCTTACCTGAGTTCAATTCCTCCGCCCCTCTCGGAGAGCCCGGCAAGCTACCGAGAGTATCTCGCCCGCACAGCAAGCTACCCGTGACATATTTGATATGCCAAACACAGCAACTAGTGTCACAATGGAGATGTTACTGGGCCCGCTCGAGAAAATCGATGAACAACGGGAGGACTGTGACAGTGACAGATATTATTCGTGCTTTGCAGTCAGGAATTAGGAACTGAGTATTACCTTTGTCCCCAGTGTACCTTCAGAGTCCCACAAATGGGGGTGAGGGGGTCGGGGAAGGGGCGCACAGGCACTCAGACATTTGAGTCTGATATACTGTAGGCCAGATGAACAGAAGTAGAGATGGAACTTAGGTTGCCACAGTAGAAAAAGAAAAAATAAACACAGGGGCTGGAGTGGAGTGATAGTATAGTGGGCAGGGAGCTTGCCTTGCATGTGGCCAACCTGGGTTTGAACCCTGCCATCCTATCTGGTCCCCTGAGCATTACTGGGTGTGATCCCTGAACACAGAGCCAGGAGTCAGCCCTGAGCACTACTGGGTGTGATCCACAAACAATAAAGAAAAAAAAAATTCCAATCAGTTTTCTTTTGTGTTTATGTTTCAAAGGTGGTCATTGAAGCCATTTGATCTCACTTTTCGTTTCTTTCCTTTAGGTGAAATCACGCGGGAAAGAATTCTTTGAATTTCTCTGCCAACAGATCCAGGAAGAAGTAGACCCAAAGGGACAGGTCTCCCAAGAAGGCCAAAGAAACTATCTGGAAACGTCTTTGGTGGAGATATTCCCTTTTGGGAAAAACCGGGCCTCCGCGCCTAACTCAGACAGCCATGCTCTGGGCCTGGTGGCCAGTGTCTTAGTGGTGAGTCACGGTGCTTACATGAGAAGTCTGTTTAATTACTTTATCTCCGAACTTCAGTGTTCCTTACCAGGCACTGTGACGGAATCCGAACTCATGTCCGTTAGTCCCAACACAGGCATGAATGTCTTTATTGTAGACTTAAAGAAAGGACCAGAAGCTAAGCCAGCAGTGCAGTGTGTGTGTATAAACCTCCAGGAGCATCTCAATGGGAAGATTAAAGCTCACTCGAGCTAGGGCCACCTCAAAGCCTTAGACCGGGGAGCCTCTTAAAGGAGTGCCTTTGGCTTTCTGTCTTTCTTCTGATAGTGTCGACCTGGAAACGGTTCAGAAGCTATTACGGCAGGTTATAAAACTCAGGTGGCCCAGAGCCACAATAAAACACTACTGGAATACCGTTTCTTTCTTTTTTTTTTTTTTTTTTTTTTGGTTTTTGTGCCACGTTGGCGATGCTCAGGGGTTACTCCTGGCTCTGCACTCAGGAGTCTCTCCTAGCAGTGCTCGGGGGATGATTTGGGATGCTGGGGATTGAATCCGGGTCAGCCACATACAAGGCAAATGGCCTACCCTCTGTGCTCTCTCTCCAACCCCTGGAATACCATTTCAAACAGACTTCTTGATTCAACTGTAGCTGGCACTTTCAAGAATACTTTTACTGTTATGTATATTCATTTTTATTTCTAGTTGGTGAATGAATAAAGAAGCTCAGTATTACAAATTGGGAGATTAATAGTTTAGTTACTATAGTTTTTTTTTTTCTTCAATTTTTTTCCTTTTTTTGTGTTGGCATTTTTCTTAATGGCCAAAAAACCCACAAAGAAAACCAAAAAATGTCTAGCCTATTTTATCGACTTTCGGTAAGATATACTGTATGTTTTATACTATTTCATCTGATGCTTGAAAGGTGTAGCTAATGATAATTCCCACTGCCTATTTGTAGTGACAATATGTTATATTTTTGAAGTCTTTTAAATTAAAAGTATTATCCTCCTGAGTGTATATAAAGTTAAAAAAAAAACTTACCATAGAAATCAGCAAATACAAAGACAAAAGTCAGCATTTGAATTTTTCTTTTTATCATAACACCACAATTGACACAGTTCATAATACCGTTGTTTGAGGCATTCAGTGTTCCAACACCAGTCCCACCACTAGTGTGTCCTTCTCTCCACCAGTGTCTCCAGTTTCCCACCCCCGACCCCAACCTGCCCCCCTCAGCAGGCACAAAGAAATGTACTTCATTTTGCTTGTCATAACACAAAAGACAAATGGAACTGTTAAAAGATAGATCAATAAAAGTTGATTTGTCATCATCGCTATATCTCATATAATAACGCTCCTAAAGTCATTGTCTGAGGACCTACTGTGCTGGTCAGTTCTAGTTGAGCCTTCTGTGTTATTGATCTCACTAAGTTGGCTGGTCTCCTGTGCAACTTAGCCATCAAATTTGCAGTGTTCCTACTAAGCTGTCAGTACCATGAATTTTGGAGGTGTCCTGCGACTGCCCACGTCAGGAGCTAGGGAACTGGAAGCATTTGGTGGCATGGCCACTTGATGAGGCTCAGCTGTAGAGCGGGGCTTGTTCTGTGCTGGAGCGTGTCAGGTGTGGGTGCGGGCTGCTGAGCCTTCAGACAGAAAGGGGAAACTGCCCCCATCCTGAGGAGGCCCTAGAGGCATCCGCCGGGACCGGTCTACCTGGGAGAGATTCAGTGGCATCATGTACTTTTCGAGATTAGCTGTGGGGCTGGGCTGTTTCTCTTCTGGAAGATGAGCTGTTGAATGTTACACTGGAAGGCCGGAAGTGTGGATAAATGCAGATTGCATATGGATTGGATACGATAATTAGAAATTCAGGTATTATTAGATTAAAAATAAGAAGGCATCTGAACCAGAGATAAAAAAAAAACACTATTTCAGATCTATAGGCTGGAGAATTAAGTTGCAGGAAATCTCTAAAGAAACTAAAGTTTGGACTACTCAGTGATCCCAGAATAAAGGAAATTCTTCCAAAACAAAGTATGAAAAGTGTTTTCTTATTTAACCACAACATGGGTTTGGTTTGCATTCGTGTGTGTGTGTGTGTGTGTGTGTGTGTGTGTGTGTGTGTGTGTGTGTGGTAACTGTTCCTCTTTTTTCCACCAGGTGGCAATGGAGCAAAGGCGTTTTGTACCTACTATTGATCTCTTAAAAATCCTAGTCTAATTTGGGGCTGGAGATTTAGTGCACGGGGCAAGGGGCAAGGTCTGGCATTGGGCAAACCCTCGTTGGATTCTAAAGGAGCAAGGCAAAATATGGATGAGTGCCATTAACTCTTGGTGTGGCCACCAGGGAGGACAAGAAGGGGCATCCCATATGCCAAAAACAGTAACAAGTCTCACAATGGAGATGTTACTGGTACCACACAGGGTTCCCTCAGCACCACAGAGGTGATCTCTGAGCAGAGCCAGGAGTAAATCCTCAAGCACTGCCAGGCGTAGCCCCAAAGCACAACTGAACAAAATGCCTCATCTAAATGGAAAGTGTTCTGCTATGTGTGGGTTGCTTTTAAAGATCATGCTGGTGAATGTCACTGATCGTGAACTTTCAGGAGGATTAGTAAGGAGGTGTCACTTAAGACTGAAGTCTCACCGAGTCGAAACTTACTGGAAGATCACAGGAATCAGGGATGGATCTCAGCATCACCCTGCTTTCCCTGTGTGCATCAGTACTGACCAGTATTGATCAGACTGCATGGCTGAGCAGTCAGAGAAAGTCTATTGCAGCTGGAACCTGAGCAAATAACCAAAATGGGAAAAAGAAATATCCACTTTCCTATCCTCCTGAAGTAGTAACTTCACCTTTAAAGAGGAAAAAAATGCATAATTATGTAAATAAAGTTCCTTTACCCAATTCCCTGGGCTGGAACGATAGCACAATGGGCAGGGCTTCCACGAGGCAGACCCGACCTGGGTTCGATTCCTCTATCCCTCTTGTTGAGCCCAGTAAGCTATCAAGAGTATCCCACCCTCATGGAAGAGCCTGGCAAACTCCCTGTGACGTATTCCATATGCCAAAAACTGTAACACCAAGTCTCACAATGGAGATGTTACTGGTGCCCACTCGAGCAAATCGATGAACAATGGGAGGACGGTGCTACAGACAGTGCTACCCATTTCCCACTATCCTCCTGCCCCTTCTTGTCCTCCCTGGCGGCCACCCCATGAGTTATTGGCACTCATCCATATTTTGCCTTGCTCCCTTAGGAAATGATGATGTTTTGGTTTTTAGAAAAATGTCTGTTAAGAATCATCAAGCTGGGGCTGGAGTGATAACACAGCAGGGAGGGCGTTTGCCTTGCAGGCAGCCGACCCGGGTTCGATTCCCAGCATCCCTTATGGTCCCCCCAAGCACCGCCAGGGGTAATTCCTGAGTGCATGAGCCAGGAGTAACCCCTGAGCATCACTGGGAATGACCCAAAAAGAAAAACATAAAGCTGTCCATATTCTTTATTTTCATATATCTTTGAGCTCAATTGAGCTATATAAAAGTAAAGGCCCTCCCGTTGATCGTCGATTTGCTCGAGCGGGCCCAGTAACGTCTCCATTGGAGACTTTGTTGTTACTGTGTCTGGCATATCGAATACTCTCGGTAGCTTGCCGGGCTCTCCGAGAGGGGCGGAGGAATCGAACTCGGGTCGGCCATGTTGGCCGCTTGTAAGGCGAACGCCCTACCCGCTGTGCTCTAGTTACTTATAACAACCACATTGAATAAATAATGGCCCATTTGATTTATTTTCCTTTTTGTGGCCTATTTGTTGCATTCTGCTTTTCTATAGAAACACCGATTCATGTCATAAACACTTAATACGCCTCTAGGATGACAAGAAGTCACATATATTTTTTTTTCTTTTTGGGTCACACCTGATGATACACAGGGGTTACTTCTGTCTCTGTACTCAGGAATTACCCATTTGCGCTGCTCAGGGGACCCTATGGGATGCTGGGAATTGAACCCGGGTCAGCGTGTGCAAGGCAAACGCCCTGCCCGCTGTGCTATCGCTCCACTCCTCACACACATTTTTCTTTCAAATGTTTTTTTTTTTTTTTCAAAATGGTGTCACTGTTGTTCAGTCTCTGGTTGAGTTGGAAAGTGCCTACCTGCCACCTTTTTTTTTTGTCAACGCTTTATCAAGTGATGGCAACTGATGGAAATTTTGAAGTCTTATTATTTTAGAGATGTTTCTGTGTTTGCAGAGACCATTTTTTCCATGTGGGTACTGGCAGAATTGTCTCAGTCGCTGCTATAAATTCTTTGCCTGGTTTTCTTTCGGAGTCACTTTTTCTTCGTGGCAGCTGTTGCTATGGCAGATATCTTCCAGGTCACTTGTGTGTTACGTGTGTTCCTTAGGATTTTTATTTTCAAGTCTGTGTCTTGTTTTTTTTTGTGAGGACCACTCCATGCTCAGTACTTGTGTCTTACTCCTGGCTCTGTGCTCATGGATCACTCCTAGTGGGGATTGAGGGTAATGTGTAGGGCCAGGGATAGAATTGGATTGGCCATTTACGCAAGGCATACAACCTACCCTCTATACTATCTCTCTTTAATTATTTTTTTATGTTTTAAAATTTTTATTAGTGAGACAACATGAGGTACAGTTGTAGACTTACAAATTTTTGTGCTTGGGTTTCAATTATACAGTGATCAAGTACCCATCCCACCAGCAGTGCCCATTTCCCACCACCACGGGTCCCAGTATCCCTCCCCTCCCATCCCCCCCATCCCACCCTGCCTCTGTGGCAGGGCATTCCCTTTTGTTCTCTCTCTCTTATTGGGTGTTTGCAAAAGAGGCAATGGGTGACGATCATGTTTGGTCTATAGTCTACTCTCAGCATGCTTCTCCCATCCTGGGAGGATCCTCCCAACACCCTTTATTTGGTGCTCCCTTCTCTATCTGAGCTCCCTTTTCCCCTAGCATGTGTGGTTGGCCTCCAAGCTATGGAGTAAAATTCCTGGTACTAATATCGGCCATTCTTGGGTGTTAGTCTCGTATTTTGTTCTCTATAATTTTTAAACCAAACGCCTTTAGGAACTTGTTTTCTTTTTTTCTTTTCTTTGCTTTTTTGGGTCACACCCAGTGACACCCAGGTGTTACTCCTGGCTCTGCACTCAGGAATCACTCCTGGCAGGGCTCGGGGGACCATATGGGATGCTGGGAATCGAACCTGGGTTGGCTGCATGCAAAGCAAATGCCCTACCTGCTGTGCTATTGCTCCAGCCCCTTGTTTTCTTTTTTTAAAAAATGTTTTTTTTTCTTTTTGGGTCACAGGGGTTACCCCATGATGCACAGGGGTTACTCCTGACTTTGCACTCAGGAATTACTGCTGGACTGAAATGTAATTATAGAATAGATCTATAGACACACAAACATAGTTGACAAAGGACATGTATACCTCAGTTTCTCCGCCCCTCTCGGAGAGCCCGGCAAGCTACTGAGAGTATCTCACCTGCATGGCAAAGCCTGGCAAGCTCTCTGTGACGTATTCGATATGCCAAAAACAGTAACAACAAGTCTCACAATTTTTTGTGAAACGTTACTGGTGCCCGCTCGAGCAAATCGATGAACAACAGGAGGACAGTGCTACAGTCTATATATATAGTTGTTAAAATATGATTTGATATTTATGAGTAGGGTTTTTGTTGTAGTTGATTGATGCTGGAGATCAAATATGCAAAGCACATATTCCACCACTGAGTTTCTTGCCCAGCCCAGTGTTTTTTTCCCCCCATTCTTATGACATGTTATTCTTCATAAAACAGATTAGCCAAGGCATTTATTTTATAGTTCTTGCTTTCCATGCTTGTCTCAGAATCTTTACTGCTGGTTGTGAACCCAGGAAGAGGAAGCCCTTTGATAAAATTCCTAGGAATTTTATTTTATTTATTTAGTTTTGGGGCCCGCACCTAGAGATGCTCAGGGCTTCCTTCTGGCTCTGAGCTCAGGGATCATTCCTAGTATGGCTTGGGGGACTTGTGTGATGCCAGGGATCAAACCCTCGTCAACTGTGAGCAGGGAAGTATGTTACTTCCTGTACTATTCAGCATCTGGGGATTATAGATGTTGAAAACACCCCCTGTAATGTGGAATTTATTATTCTATGAATAATGTCTACATCTTGGTTATGGGAATATTCTACTTTCTTCTAGCAGTAGTTTTGTTTTACCTCATATCTTTAAATCTGATTATTATTATTCTTTGGGGGGCACATCTGTCAGTGCTCAGGGGTTACTCCTGGCTCCGTGCTCAGAAATTA